GAGCGATAATAAATGATTGTATGAATAAGCTAGACGTACTCGCCCGCTTCGTTGGGCATTTAAAATTAACATTAATATTTATTGTCATTATTATTAGGGAGCCCAACACTCATATAAATATTAGCCTATCCATTAAGTACGTATATTGTCTACATGGATACCAAGTTTCAAGTTAATCGGATGCATTGTTCTGTAGTTATAACGGAACATCCGTAAAAACCACTGTAGATTTATATATTAGTGTTGAGTGTTGATGATGATAATAAATGATTATAAACTATGATTTTCGTTGCTGATAACAAAAAACCAATTTAAAATGTTGCCAATGTAACCGAAACCTTTGACCATGGTGATTAATTCGACCACTTTCATGAGCCTTTAATTTTTTTCTAATAGTGATACGATCGTGAAACAATTGAACGATACGCAACATTATCATGACCAGCCAATGTCATTGCCAACACCACTACGTAGAGTACTAATCATAAACGGTGAAAATGTTTTGAGGAGTAAGCCCAAAAAAGTGGAAAATCTTTGCTACGAAGAATACGACAAAGATGGTAAATTAGTCAACAGAGTAATGATGTACAATCTTCAGGACGTTGCCAGCTTTATTGAAAATTACCTTAATCCTGAAATATGCTATGGGAAATGTGTGTCCGGCCATTAAATGCGGTAATTTATACACACTATATATACACAACTATTTAATTATGGTTACTGCTACACACTACTTCTGTGTTCCATAAATGAATTGGTTTAATTTCATTTGATTTAATCAATATTTTACTGTTGTTCAGTTCTAAAATCATTGTTATTTAGATCATTAATAAAATAATATGATGAAAATAAAAAATTGCTTATTAAGGTGGATTTATTAATACGATAGTATACAAATGTATTATTATAATATAGTATCGGTAGGCACTATCTATCTCGAATATTTCCGCCGCAAAGCAATTATGCATTCTGATTTGAAGGTTGGGTCACCAGATATACATTACCATCAATACCTAACATTATGACTCAGGTGGATTGCTGTATGCATGTCTATGAGCTCTGCTAGCCCTTGCACGTCAGATGAGCCACGAGATCATTCACCCATCTACGTAATAGAAATAAATATAGTGGATACGTAGATATCGAGGGGTGAAAGACTATTTGATTCAAGCGACATATCGTGTAGTATGCGGCATTTATCTTTGTAATTAAAGGTCCGTTTTATTTAGTACTAGCGACCCGCCCTCGCTTCGCTTCGGAAACATTAAATTTTATTATTGATAGCTGAGTCCCGCGATGTAACCCGCGGTTATTGTCGTACCGCGGGTGACGCCGCGAAGCAAAGCTAATCTAAAAAAAGTAACCTAAATTACTCCCTATATAATCTATCTGTCAGTGAAAGTCCCGTCAAAATCGGTCCAGCCGTTCCAGAGATTAGCCGGAACAAACAGACAGACAGACAAAAATTGTAAAAAATGTTATTTTGGTGTATGTGCCGTATATATATTCATATGCATATAGTAAAAAGCGGCTATTTCAATATTACAAACAAACACACCAACTTTATTTATATGTATAGATTAGTATCAACAATTTCATATTTTAATTGAACTTTAATTAAGTTTACCCCCCTCAAACAGCTAAAGCAGTGTTTTTGCTACGAAATTTTTTCAAAATTTTTAACATCAAATGGCTCTCCTGTGCAGTTGCAAAAATTTCGCTTAAACAAAATAGATTTTCACCACTCGAATAAATCTGAAGTACCAAAGCAGATTACGAGTGTTTGGTATTAATAACAGGAAAAACTGCTGCGATTAATCACATTAAATTTATGTAAACACTTTAATCTTGAATTGATTAATCGGTAGCACCTTTTCGACCAGCCATTTTCGATTAAATCTCTATTCAGATAAAATAGTTCTATACTCGTTTATACTTTAATAGAAACTAAAATATGTTGTGAATTAAGCATTAAAGTATTTAGTTTGATGACGAACTTTATACATAGTAATGACTCGTGATTTAAAATAGGTTAGGATAATAATAAGTAGAGAATGTTAGAGTAATAAAAGTGAAAATTTGCATCAATTTAGAATCGCAATTAGAATATAGAATATAGTGATATGGCATTTGGAGTGTTTATTCCTTCTACTAAGTTATTCTTTTTAATTGAGACTGTGAGCGATGCATTCAACCTCTGAGTTGTTAGGTCTCCTTCTGAGGCGCTCGGGCTGCTGTTAGCTAATCCCATCCCTTCTGGCTGAGCCCGTGCTCTTCCACTTGTCCTGGTGAAGCTGGAAAGGTCACCCGTAATTCTTCCTTCCTAAAAAAGCCTTTAGTTGCTACGAAAATAACCAGGTCAGTACCAATTCGTACGGAGTCAAATCAAGTATATTCAATGAAATGTATTTTTTTATAATATTTCTATATAATTAATCTATGCCGTTTTAGTTTCCCATCAAATATTATTCTTATTTAGTTACTGTCAAAGATTAGATTTGTCACTGTTTTTTTTGCTAGTTAGTTACAATTTTGATTAAAACAACCGCTTTTCGTTACTTAAAAAAAACAGCTTAAACACATAATTAAATTCAATGCAAGCAAACATGCAAGCAAACCATAAATCGGGGTATCTTTTTTGATAGAAAATATAAAACAAAAATTAGTTTTCTTGTGGTCGAAAATCAAACCACATCACCTTGCAGAAATAAAATATCGGTGACAATTGGAGTTTTCGTCCGGAGACAATCTATTTATACTGAAACTACAAGACGTCATGTTTTACCATTCATCATTCTCTTGCTCTTCTCCCAGTCATCTGGGGTCGGTGCAACATGTTTTCTCCTTCTATACTACTCCTCTATTATAATAATCATTTCTTCGCTCACTCCCCTCTCACACATATCGTCTTTCACGCAATCCATCCATTTCTTCTTAAGTCTACCTCTTCCTTTAAAGCAAACAGCATACACCTAGGGGTTTCTTCCTGTATTTCCCACGTCAAGTCATCCATCACTAGCAGAAAGAGACAGGAATTTGGGCAGACCCTTGGTGTAAGCCCACTGCCACTTTGAACTCGTCGGGATTCACTGCGGCGGTTCGTATATACGTCCTGGATCGACTTATCTGGTACATGGCACAGATTAACCTCACATGCTTACTAGGTATACCTTTCTCGTTTAATGAAATGCTCTAGGTACCCTGTTGTACGCTTCTTCCAGATCAAGGAACACCATAAATGCAGATTCCTGTGTACATCACATTATTTTTCGCACATTTGGCGGAGTGCAAATATGGCGTCCGTTGTCCCATGACCAGGCATAAGCCCGAACTGGATTTGGATAATCTCTCTTTCGCTTCTCTATCACTTTCTCCCAAATTTCCATACTATGTGACGTAACCTTTATTCCTCGATAGCGCTACAGTTTTGCACATACATTTTATTTTTGTATAAAGGCACCAATATACTGGTGCTCCATTCCGCAGGGATCACTTCTTCTTGTAGCAGCTTATTGAAGAACAAAGCCAGCCACTCATATCTGTCTTCTCCCAGTATCTTCCATACTTCCACTGGTATACCGTCTGGCGCTTCTGAGTTTCCGTTTTTCATACTTCTCACTACTTCTCTAACTTCATGGAATCAGTGTGTATACATTGATTTCATTCACAATACCGACGTTCTCTGGCTTCCTATCAATCACCTTATTCCAGCCGTTTTCCTCATTCATTATTTTTTCAAAGTATATCTTCCAGCGGTCTGTTATTCCCTTATCTTTCATTAGAGCTTTACCTGTCTCATTTTTCATACATTTAACATGCTTAATTTCTTTCGCTCTTTCTTCTCTATCTCTCGTGATACGGTATAGTTCCTTTTGTCCACGAGGTCCATCCAAAGCAGCATACAGTCGTTTCTATCTGCATCAGATCTGGCTATAGCAACCGCTTTAGTGGGTTACAATACTCCCATCCTCCATGCACCTTATGCAAATTTCTTTACTCTCTGGAATGCCAATCATAACACTATCAAAATCCTGCCAAAAAATTTCTTTCACTTCCTCCTTGTATTCGACCTGAGGCGATATATACTTATAACATTCAAAATAACACTTTCACAAACTATTTTCACTATTATAATCCTATCACTCGTTTTTATGACATGCGCCATACAATCTTTTAAATCCACATCTAACACTACTCCAACATCGTTCCTTTATCCACCACTTCCACTACATTCCAATATAACTTATTAATATATTCTTCACTAATCTCTCTAGCTTTCGCTCCTTTCCACCTAGTCTCTTGCAGACATGCTATATTTATTCTTTTCCTCTCCTAACACATTCGCTTGCTCCCTTTCTTTTCCAGTCACACTACCTACATTCCAGCTTGCATACCTCAATCTCACCTCTCTCACATTTTAGGCTTGCATGTACGTCACACTCGATCGTGATGCGACAACCCTAGTCCACTTTCCACAGAGACCGGGTGCTGTCGCTACGTGTAGCCTATGGGGGACGTCTTAGCCCTGTCGCTCTCATTTTTATTCATTCTCATGTTGCTGCATGTTGCAATATACAATGCACATTATATACATAATTTCACGCTATTTAAATAAAAAATAATATAGATTAAATTAATGTTTCACATTAGATACATAAGCTAGGTTCTTCTCTTGTGTTATGGGTACTAAACGACCGTACCGTACTAAAGAACAAATAAAACCACCGAATTACTTTATTATTTTAACAAAATACAGTTACATAACCTTCTTAACAGAATATACTAAAATAAGCTTTTAATCATGATTATTATAAACAATATTCTAACAGAAACGATTTTTAGAATATACTAGCTGACCCGGCAGACTTCGTAGTGCCTCAATCGATAAATAAAAGACACATCAAGGGGACACATCAAAGGAAAAAGAAAATTGTTTGTTTTTATATATTTCCGAGCTTTTTTATATTTTCTTCACCTTTTAAATCTTCCCTGGACTTCCACGAATAATTCAAGACCAAAATTAGCCAAATCGGTCCAGCCGTTCTCGAGTTTTAGCGAGACTAACGAACAGCAATTCATTTTTATATATAGAGATTATGAACATGAACGCTTGTATATTTGAATGTACATACTATGTGTGTGAGTAACAAACTCAATTAGGCAAAAACGGCAAAAGGGATTTTAATCAACATTTGTATGATGATAGTTTATAGCTTGGATTATAACTTATAATACTTTTTAACATGGTACATAACAAGTTCCGGCAATGCTAATAGTTACGAGTGAGTTTTCACAGGGTCGTGATTTTACGTAATAAGGGATTTATAAAATCGATTTTTGAATTTATTGATACAGACTGACAAAAGCAATTCTTTAATTTGTATACTTTAAATTTAATTTATAAAACAATACACACATCGTAAACGATTAAGGCTATTTTTTTAATTATCATATAAAATGTAGTCAATAACAAAAACCAGTTCTATGTTGAGTTCCTTTGTTTTCTTTTAACCTTCAACTTACTTAATGGATATATTTTTGATGACCGAAAATCTGTGCTAAATACGTAAGTTATTCAAATTCAAATATTAACATTGATCTACCATCGTCCACAGTTCTAGTCTGTTTTGTCAATACATAATATAGTTTGTCATCCAACCAAAGAAGCTAGTAGCTGCGAGGAAACTCCTGACCGGTTGAATAATTCGTCATCATAATATATTGATGTTGTCTGCAATAAGTAAAATAAGTTTTAATCAGTATGTAATTTAACTTTATGTTAGTGTTCTATATTCGAAATATTTGAAGTATTCGCATCACTTTACACGTGGAAGGTAGCTGTGAATATCCGGGTTTTAAAATTACGTTAGTGGATTTGAGTTTTATTTTTTGGTGGCTAAGCTCTCGCAGTTCGCTTGATTTTAGGTGATTATAAAAAACTTAAAAGCATCATACTGTGACCACCATGAGATATGAAGATGAAGTCTCAACTGAATTAGAACAAGGGCGATTCTGTTCTTAAAGCTGCAACGAAGTAATTTTGGTAGAAATAAACAATATAGTGGTATGGGACCAGGGGATTTTTAATTATTATTGTGATGTATTGACTCTGAGTAAGACTGTAAGATCTAATTCGTGCTAAAACGTCTTCTGTACATTGGAAAAAACACAAGCGAGATTTGCGTAGATCTATCGCATGTTTTTTGTTACGTATGTGTTTAAAGNGTCTTTTGTACATTGGAAAAAACACAAGCGAGATTTGCGTGGATCTATCGCATGTTTCTTGTTACGTATGTGTTTAAAGATCTGTTGCACGTTTCCATAATATGTTTCGAGACTTAATTTGGCATTACGTTTTTAGATTTTTTGAAAGTCATAAGTATACGCTACGTATAATATTATCCTCAGAGCGCTCTTTGTAGCAGCATTTGGTGGTATCATGAGAAAACGTTTAGTATGGATTTTAATAGAAAAACAAAAAATGTACTCACGTATTCAGAATCTGTCGTTGTTTCATATGTGCTTTCAGTAGTAGATGGTTCGTCTGTCGTGAATGAAGTTGTTTCTGTGTTTTCAGTAGAAATATCTTCAGACTCTTCTTTATTTTTTTGAGGAATTTCATTGGAGCTAAAACGAGCATCCTTTTGATTTCCCTTATCTCTTTCATTGATAGCATTATTGGAGTGAGAAAAAGTATCGGTGGCACCAGTTCTTGAAGTAATCATAGGCAAATTAGATTGAATTGCATTAAAAGTAGATCCAAAATATTTATTCGTATTTTTCATTTCTGTAAGCCGGAAGCCTATTAACGGTTCTGGACTGTAAGCAATAGAACAAAGTTAGTTGTAAACAGTAATGTATATTTTAAATAAGTAATTGATTCGTGAATTTAGGCGCTATGTGATTGGAATAATTTATCTTAAAGAACACTAATTTCGTTCACACAACGTTTCGTTCTTTAACACTAATTTCGTTCTTTACTGGTGGTAGGACCTCTTGTGAGTCCGCGCGGGTAGGTACCACCACCCTGCCTATTTCTGCCGTGAAGCAGTAATGCGTTTCGGTTTGAAGGGTAGGGCAGCCGTTGTAACTATACTTGAGACCTTAAAACTTATATCTCAAGGTGTGTGGCGCATTTACGTTGTAGATGTCTAAGGGCTCCAGTAACCACTTAACACCAGGTGGGCTGTGAGCTCGTCCACCCATCTAAGCAATAAAAAAAAACACAAAAATACGAAGTAATACGAATCCAATATAGATCGTGTTGTATAAAAATCAGACTTCAATTAATATTTTTACAAATCTCAACTTACATGTTCAATTGAAAACCAAAATTGAAGACGCCATTTTGAAAAGCAGGCCGTATTTGTCTTTCATAATTTGCACTTCGAAAATGTAAAGGATTCGTTGAACAAAAACAAAACACCAACGACAGCACGAGAAACTGTAAATTGATTCATTTCATATATCATTAGTTAATCGCAAAATTGCAATAATCAAACAATTTGGTCATTGTATTTTCTCACACTGTACTCACGTGTAAATAATTGACAACCATCTTCTTCTTTCATAAAAATAAGACACAAACACTGCTCAAATTGTTCTTGCTATATAAACCAAAAGAGAAACGAATTCCTTTTAACACATTGCAAAGTACGTTCTCTGATCTTGAGTGTGACGAATGATTTGAGGTATGCTGCGTAAAGATTTCCTGTTTGTTCGTGGAACTAAAACGTTTAGCCATTTTTTGTAGGTCCGTAACTACGTACGATGCTGTACTCGCTCGACTTTGATTGCTAGGTTTTGCAGGTTGCAATTTAAAACAGATAAGAGGATATAAATAATTACCAACGACACTGAGTCATCAAAAACTGATGAGTTTTTTTAAATATTTTGCTGTGGATATACTCGTAGACGTAGCTGACGGTCTAATGGTATCAAGCTTGTTACCAAGCCTCATAATTACAACCTGAATTTCGAAACCCAACCTGACACATTTGTTAGTTCAACAAAGAAATAATGAACCAAATATTAAAAAGATTATAGACGGTAATTACATAAAAAAATCAGTTAAGACTACTAAATGTCGAGGTTCAAATTTAATCGGAATTTTAAAGTAATCATCCATATTTACATTACAGAATATTTCAACATCCAACCATCGAAGTGGTTTATTTATTAACTGGTACAATATATATTATGTGCTATGTGAATTATGTACAGATTCTGTTATGGATCGAGATTGTTAAATAACACTATTATTAAATAAGTTTTAGTTATTATGAGATCAAGAGCTAATAAATAAATAAATCAGGAGTCCACCAGCTGTTTTTATTTTTTATTGCTTAGGTAGGTAAACGAGCTCACGGTCCACCTGATGTTAAGTGGTTACCGCGTTACCGGAGTCCATAGACATCTAAAACGTAAGTGCTGCCACCTACCTCTTCAACAATAAAAAAGTATTAGTTTACTAATTTCAGTTACCATTTGCTGAATTTTTGCCGGCTTACTTCATACATACAATCAATAAAAACAATAAATAAATATTCAGAGATAAAGTCGGACAACAAGTCGGCAAATTGGAAAAAATGGCGATAGCAGTGTTCGAATGGTATGCAACCGCAATTCAGCTAGGGAAGGAACCTGCCGATATTCAAGCCGTAACATTCACGTCAATCATAGGACCAGAATTAGATTATCAAAAAGAACACAAAAGATACTGACATTTTCTACACCATGGGGAAGATATTCATTCAAAAGACTTCCATTTGGACTATCGTCAGCACCTGAATTTTTTCAAGAAATTTTGACTATTCTTCTCAGTAAATTTAAAAATGTAAGAGTATCAATCAATGATATCTTTATTCATGCCAAAAAGAAGGAAGAGCTACAGAAAACGGTCAAGGAAGTAATAGAAACATTGAAATTTTCTGGTTTCAAGCTCAATCAAAGCAAAGGCATCTTTGAAGCCAAAAGAATAATTTTTTTGGGTAATGTAGTCTCAACCAAAAGTTTAAAAGCAGATCCTGAAAAAGTAATAGTCATAGAGTTCATAAAAACACCACAGAACAAAAAAGAACTGCAAAGGATACTAGGAATGATAACATATTTAAGTACTAGTAATAAAGTATAAGTATTTAATTAACAAACCCTTTGAGAGATCTGCTTCACAAGGAAACAAGTTTCAACTGGGAATTCTATCATGATGAAGCACTAAACAAAATTAAAAAAGTTTTACAGAATCCACCAATGTTAAAACTATAGGATGTAAACAAACCACTCACACTAAGTGTGGATGCAAGCTCAAAGAATCTGGATCAGTACTTCTTCAGAAAAGCCAACCAGTAGCTTATGGAGCCAGAACATTGACTAAATCCAAACAAAATTATCCTATTTGGGTACAAAATTTCCATGAGTATGTCTATGGTAAAGAGTTATTAGTCGAATCAGATCACAAGCCGCTCAAGACAATATTCAGAAAAAACATTCAGTTAGCCCCAGCTAGAATTCAACGTATAATGCTCAACCTAACACCATATTCACCAAATATTACATTTAAAAAGGCACAGAAATACCATTAGCAGACTTTTTAAGCCGTGATTGTGACACTTCAAAACTGAACGACTATCAGGAAGAAGACCTGAAGATCACAATAATATTACCAACAACATTTGACTCCACAGAATAGTTGATCAAAGCAACAAAATTTCCAGAAAAAGTTGATCTACTCCCTACAGAACTGCATCACTACTTCAATTTCAAAGAAGAGCTATCATACTTCAAAGGTCACAAAATTGTAGTGCCCAAATACAAGTACCTCAGTACCTCATGCCAAATTACATACACCAAGGCCACCTTGGAATTCAGAGCTGCTTGAAAAGAGCACGCCAATTGATGTATTGGAGAGGACAATATGCGGACATTGTGAAACTGGTTAGAAGCTGCTCAGCATGTGAAAAAACACAAAAGGACAATATCAACTATACCGTGGCAGTCAAAATAATTCCATCTCTCCCATAGCAGATCGTGGCATCTGATTTAATTGAACTAAAAGGATACTATAAGGATAATAAGAATTTTTTTATTTTATTGCTTAGGTGTGTGGACGAGCTCACAACCCACCTGGTGTTAAGTGGTTACTGGAGCCCATAGCCATCTATAACGTAAATGCGCCATCCACCTTGAGATATAAGTTCTAAGGTCTCAGTATAGTTACAACGGCTACCCCACCCTTCGAACCGAAAGGCATTACTGCTTCACGGCGGAAATAGGCGGGGTGGTGGTACCTACCCGTGCGGACTCCCAAGGGGTCCTACCATCAGTGATTACGCAAATTATAATTTTGCGGGTTTGATTTTTATTACACGATGTTATTCCTTCACCGTGGAAGTCAATCGTGAACATTTGTTGAGTACGTATTTCATTAGAAAAATTGGTACCCGCCTGCGGGATTCGAACACCGGTGCATCGCTACACACGAATGCACCGAACGTTTTATCCTTTAGGCCACGATGACTTCAAAAGGATAGGAATATACTGTTTTATATTGTATTTTGTGACAGTTTCTTTTTTTTTTTTGGGAAGATGTAACGTGTATGCAGCCTATTTTCGGTTCTCATAACATTAATCTTTGATGACCACTCTACAAAATAGCCCTTGACTGACCCGCCATATTCTCTACGACGCCGCGACGTACATGTTAAAAGGATGTAAAAACCTACCTGTGATTAACTAACAATAAAAATGTAAGCCCGATCGTAACATTTGTCATTTATCAAAGAACCCAAACTTTATAATTATTAACACTAGCGGAGATTGTTAACTAGCCACCTTACCATTATGATAATATCTACTAATATCTACAATCATCCTCGTTTCTGCCCATATAATGCGCCCATGCGAAGATAATTTTTCTTGGAAATAATAGTTATTTTGGAATTTTCTAATTAAATGAAGAATAGTGAGCTGATGTGTGTAAGTAAATGACTTACTACAAATATTACTTTTTCAAAAAAATTGTTTGTTTGTAGTTCGATTTTCTAATTTCCAGGACACACTACTCTTTCAAGGTGACTGAGTTTTAATGATTCCTACTGTAAAATACATTCAACAATGTTTTAAAGAACGCTAATATTGTCCCGGCTGCTTGATCATACGACCCAGCCAGCTATGTCGACTAGACACTCAGAGACTAATAATATTCGATTCAAACATAAAGTACTGAAACAAAGATTTAAATGCATTTATGCATTCATTTTTTTGCTCTCATAGTTTATCCAATTAATACATCACTTTTATCACTACCTTGTTTGTTTGCCAGCATGAGGAAATAGCGGTATTTTTCCGTTTATTGCTTATATTATTATATTCATCAATGATTGCTTTTATTGGTAAATTGATAACATCATTATTGTTATAAGCCGACAAAAAATGATTTTGGCGTCTTGCAATAAAAAAGTAGCTTATTCTAGTTCAGCCGTAACGGATTTCAATATTTACCGAACATTTTCATATTTTGAGCATGAAGAATTGTTTTAGCTGCCATAGTCAAGGTACGCAAATTGTCATGTAAAAAAATAAGCATGCAATTGGAGCAATTGGAAATCTATTTTGTATGAAATTGAATTTTCGCCACGGCCGTCCTGCCGTCATCCACATATGCTTAGATACCTTATGTTCTTCACAGTACCGCTCACTTTAAGCCGTTAGTTAAAGCACCATTTGATTTCCCAACTTTTTTCTCCGACTTTGGGGCTGAACCTCCTTACTAAGGGACTAAGATCGCGCGCGCGACATGTAGGACTCAGACGCTGAACGCAATATACCCCTAACCGTTCGCTTTTCATGAAATGGCGTGATAGAGTTTTGGTAGCGCGCGGCGCGATTCGCGATCACCCCATAACTTTCAGCGAGGGGAACATGCCTTCTACAGGCGCGCCAGGCTAGAGCTCTCGGGCCCCCGGTTTGACAGCTATGGATCGGTGTAGAGAAAAATCAGATAAATATACTTATAGTATATATGTCTACAAATATGCAAATGTAGATAAATAAACACCCAGAAAAAGAAAGAGAAACAAACCTGCTCATCACACAATATTTTTCCGATGTGGGAATCGAACCCACGACCCTCGCCGCAACAGTCAGGATCGCAAACTACTGCACCGCCGAGTCAGTAAACAATGCAAGAATGTTTCAGTAACGATCATCACAAACAATGTTCGAACAGAAATGATTTCTAGCCGATATTATAATTCATGCATATGATACAAATACCTATATCATAAACAACAAGAACAAGTTAGCGAAAAAAAAAAACAATAAAAAGTATTGATTTTTTGTTTGGTCTTCTAAATTCAGTCAGGTTACAACTTATTTGATGGATGGATTTTACATACTGATAATTGAAAATCTGCACACAAAACGTAAAGTGCTGCCAGGTTTTTATTAAAATTAAATTTCATACAGTAAAGACCACGGTGTTTAATTTTAATCTATTTTATCATTACTTAATCATCCTGCCATAGATTCTAGTATCTTTTTGGGAAGTCCAAACCGGTTCAATATTTTGTCATCAGGTATTGATGTTGTCTGCAAGTGGTACATAATTTTATGAACAATAAATTATAATACTGTAAGTCACGGTGTTTTAGATTCTAAAAGTTTTTCTTCTGCATCACTCTACCTAA